TTTTTTTTTTTTCGACGAATTACGGGGTTGTGGATAAAATTGACTGAAACTTGTCGACAAAGGAACCAATTCATGGAATAATTCCGAATTGGAGGAAGTTGGTCTCGCTTTCTGAATTCTTCGTCGATCTTCTTCTGTCAATTTTTTTGCATAATGCTGTTTTTGCGTCCGTTCGTCAGTCATATTTTATGTTTTTTTTATTTGTTTTAGTCCTGTCTCTTTTATTCGGTCGAGTTAATTGATTGCAAAGTGAATGCCTGTGACATCGGATATTAGTTCGGTGTTGGGTTAATTCGGAATAATCCGGGGACCGTGCGCTTCTGTTGGTGATATGCTTTATAATTTTTTCAAGTGAAAATTGAGTAAAATCGTTTCGAGTTCCACGTTGTAAATACTGTATTGTACATACATATTCATGCGTGACTCGCCCCCACTTTTTTGTGTCGAATTTTGGGGGAAATGTGCGTGTGGTACACCAGTATTACATACAGGATCAATTTTGCGTAAGATTTCTCAGGTGTTAGATACGTTCGAGTTGTGATTTTTGAAGGAGTTTTGAGCGATATAAAGTATTTCAGCTGAAGAAGGGGCTTTTATTATATCAAGGATAAATTTTGCGTAAGATCTTTCAGGTGTTGGGAATTGGGGAAGACAGAATTGCAATTGTTAAAGGCATTTTTAGCATTGAATAAAAGATAGTAGAAAAACGATAAATGTGTGTACATTATTATATGAAGGATAAATGTTGCATAAGATTTTGAAAGTTCTTGGCTAAGATTAAGTTGTACTGTATTTGTTGAAGGAGTTTTGTTTTAGCGGTATGAAATAGCTGAAAAAGGAGAAATGTCTTTTCAACGAGAAGTAATTTTCCTGTTTTTTTTTTTCAAATATCTTGCACTGTATTGAAAGATGCGCAATTTGTTGCTAACCCATCTGGAAGATACCAAATGCTTTTTTTTTTTTTTTCGCGTTAAGCGCGTACGCATTCGTTTCGTTTCTTGTTCAGAGATCGCCATTTTATGCAAAAGTCCGTGCCTCACTCGGTAATTTTTACGCTTTTTATAGGAATTTGACAGTCTATATTCATGTATACATTTTTTTCGGCTTTGCGATCGCGGTTTTTGTAGCATGTTCATCAGTTTTTCTGGCAGTTAACCGTGTCAATAACATTTATTTATTCAGATAAAAAAATGTCCTCCGCCCCTGTCGCTTCACGGACAGCTTCTGTGGAGAGAGTTTTTCTATTGCGCCGCCACCAACAACCCCAAGTTCGACAGAATGGAAGGCAATCCGATTTGTGTGCAAATCCCGTGGGTGAAGAATCCTCCTGCGCTCGCCAAATGGGCTAATGTGAGTCGAAAACTTCTTCCTGGTTTCTTTTCTGCGTTCTACAGTACAGGTATTTGAAAACAGCGTTGATGTGGGAGGATGTGGTTTTATTCAACTACTGTAGGTGGAAAGTGTTGGAATTTCAATTACGGTACCGTTTTTACTCCAGTGCGTTTTTTCTCAAAATTGTGCGCGTAAAGGAGGGGGGGGGGGCGTCATAGATGGTTATACATTTTTTAAAGTACAGTGAGACCCCCACAAGCAGACACCTTGACCTGCGGACAATTCAACATAGGGACACTTATTTTATCATAAAAATTAATAAAAAATTGCCCGACATGAGGACACTGACTAGACATAGGGACATTTTGTTATAAAATTGCAAATACATTTCAGGCCAATTTACAAGAAACACATATTTCCAACCCTAAAATTGATGAAAGGAAAGTTCTTGGGCATTTCTCTTGCCAAGTTACCATCCATTCAGCTAATTTAAGAAAAGTATCTCCAGCAGAGAGGGACTTCCTGGTCTCTTTTTCACTTGAATATTATTTTTACCAAGAATGCCAACATTTCTATGTACTGTACAGAGGTATCAGAATTCAATTCCCCAAATATTGGGTTGAAATATATTGATTGGGATCAGTTTAAATTGAGAGACAATTTTCATTTTCATGGAATTATGGCAAGTATTTTGTACAAAAAACCAATCAAAAATTATGTAATGTAAGCCGAAGGGAAAATGATACTCAATTTAGGGACATTTTGACTTGGGGACACTCTTGATGCACCAATCATGTCTGCATCTTGGGGTCTCACTGTTGAAGTCTCACACTGGGGCAGTGAATCCCCAACACATGGTAGGGTACCCTGTACAGGTTGACCTAAATAACTTTTGAAGTTCATGCGTCAAACTTTTGTTTATTCTTTGTCTGCGTTCCCTTGAAAACAGTTTACAGTCACACCGTGTTAAGACGGCCATAGAGTAACCGCCAATTTATTTTGAGAAACAAATCTTCTGCAATGATAAAAGCATTGGAAAATAACTTTAAACGCCATCCGCCAAAATCGTTGATAGCTCAAATACTGTTTACTCCTGCCAATCAAGTTTGTTATAACAGACCGCATACAAGATTAAAGTTTCTATGAAAGGTCTCCAATTAAAAAAAAAACAAAGATGACATACAGTGAGACCCCAGATGCGGACGTAATTGGTGCATCAAGAGTGTCCCCAAGTCAAAATGTCCCTAAGTTGAGTCTCATTTTCCCTTAGACTCACATTATATATTTTCTTAAATTAGCTAAATGGATGGTAAATTGCTGAGAGAAATGCCCAAGAACTTTTCTTACATCAATTTTAGTGTTGGAAATGTCTGTTTCTTGTAATTTGGCCTGAAATGTATTTGCAATATTATCACAAAATGTCCCTATGTCAAGTCAGTGTCCTCATGTTGAGCCATTTTTATTATTTTTATGGGAAAATAAGTGTTCCTATGTCAAATTGTCTGCATGATGAGGTGTCCGCATGTGGGGGTCTCACTGTACTTCAATTTTATGCTGCACAATGTTAAATTTGCACTTTTCTGCTGAAAAATACTCAAATGGTATGGTACAATGTGGTGAATGGTTGGAATCAATGACAGCACAGTACATCAATTACGATGTTATCTTGGGAAAATGCTTTGCATATGGAGAAAATGATTTAGGAACGGAATAGTTTCTTTATGTGGTTACCCACTGTATTTTATTTTATATTTTAAATCAGGGTCAGACTGGTTATCCCTGGATCGATGCCATCATGACTCAGTTGAGAGAAGAAGGATGGATTCACCAGTTGGCGAGGCACGCTGTGGCTTGTTTTCTAACCAGAGGCGACCTCTGGCTCTCGTGGGAAGAAGGCATGAAGGTGTTTGAAGAACTCCTGCTGGAAGCTGACTGGTCTGTCAACGCCGGCTCTTGGATGTGGCTCAGCTGCTCGTCGTTCTTTCAGCAGTTCTTCCACTCTTATTGCCCGGTCAAGTTTGGGCGAAAAGTCGATCCCAACGGGGATTATATCAGGTAATTTTTTATTTTTATTTTTTGCGCTAAGGTTGGACTCGTTCTGGAGAGCACATGCTGTTTTTTTTTTGTGTGCAATTTGTAATCGAATGACAGGCGCTATGTTCAATAGCTTTTCTCATATTTTGTTGTGTTCAATGGCTTTTTGCATTTGATTGCGTCTTATATTCGCAGAAAACGGTATTTCTAAGGTTAGACTCATACGAGGGTTCTAACAAAATTTCTCGGAGTAGCAATGAAAATGGCCTACAGTTGAGCAGAAAATTTTTTTTTCTTTGAAGAAAACATATTCTTTGGCACACAAAAAATATCAGCCCTGTTTCACAATTTGTTTTGAATTTTTTTCATAATTACCCTGGCAGAGTTTTGCTCTCCACTCAAAAGATGAGGCGCCCTTTTTTTTTTTGTAGCCCAGCTTTTCCCATAGAATTTTTGAAATCCACTTGGTATTCTTTCTTAGGGTTGCCTCCAGATCTTCCAAGGCAATTCCGCCATTTTCATCAACAGCCGCCACTTACGCGGCTGTTGGTGAAAATTTTCATCAGGCCATTTTCATTGCTACTCCGAGAACTTTTGTTAGAACCCTCGTATGTAAGCGCATTCTGTTTTATCATACTTGAACAAATGAAAGACTCGTTTTTCCTTCTTTTTTTTTAGAAAATAATCGAACATTTTAAATTCCATAGCGTCTTATTCTCGTTTATTTAAATACATTTTACATATCATGGCTTTTTATATTTGAAAGAAAAAGTAGACGTAGGATTACCTTTCTGATGCGTGAGCACGTGCGGTTTTTTTTTAAAAATCCATTTTACTCGAATGAAGGGTACTTTTGTCATTATTGTCAATGACTTATTTTGTCTTATACAGTGAAGTCTTTTTAATTTAATACTGTTAAGACAAAATATTCAGTGTGACAAAAATGGTTTGAAGTCCCAGCAGAAAGCTCATGGAGTATATGTTAAAACGATGTCGCTATACAGGATTTACATCTAGTCATTAATTTTGAAAATCTCACTATCAAAGATTATTCAGTGTAACAAACGTTTTCACAAGTCCCCAAAAGTTTTTTGTGATGAGATTTTACTGTATTGAATGGTTTATCACGTTTAATGGCGTCTTTCAATTATCAGGAAAAAGTAGATCTGATGTCAGACTCGTATGTAAGCACATGCTGTTTTTTTTCACACTTAATGTTATGTAAGACGCGCACTTCATTTTTTTGTGTGGAAAGTAATGGAATGTTTTGAATTCCATGACGACTTACAGTATTCTCTTTTCTTGAATAGCGTTTTACATTTCATGGCGCTTTATATTTGCAGGAAAAAGTAAACATAAGGTTAGACTTCATGCAAACGAATACAGTATTGTAATCTTGTCACGGAATTTAAACCGAGCCATGATTTTCGAGGGAAAAGACCTGTCTTTCACTCGATTAAGAGTGATGGAACAGCATTTGCTTAAATAGGAGTCCAATCTTGAGGTATAGTGATATCCCAAGATGCGGATGTAATTGGTGTATAAAGAGTGTTCTGATGTCGGAATTTAGCTAAGTTGAGCCTCATTTTCCCTTAGACTTCAATGCTAATGTATTTGATTGGTTCTCATTTTTGTCAAAAATTAGAAACAAGTCCTCGAAAAATTTAATTCGAATTATTTCCCTCAACTTTCAAGTTATAGAAAACAATGGTGCAGAATACAACCACATCGAATCAGATCTTTTGGCATCAAAAGGAGATGCAAAAAAGCAAAGAAAAAGAATAAGTCTTGCTAGAATATGTACAGATGATTGAAAAAAAAAAACTGAAAGAAAAGAATCACAAAATCAGCTTGCTTTTGATTATGAAGTAGAGTGAATTTATCCTGATTTTTTTTTCTTCCAAATTTTGTGAATATACTGTAAATAGCTCAATTTCTTCCAAAAAAGGGTATATCAAAATTTAAAAATAAAATGTTTCACTTTTTGTGGGAAATTTCAGAAAAGTGTCCCTTTTCAAGTGTCCCGAAGTTGAATTGTCTGTATGTTGGGGTAGCTACATACAGTGATACCCCCACATGCAGACACCTTGACCAGCAGACAATTCAACATAGGGACACTCATTTTCCCATAAAAATTCATTTAAAAGACCTGTCATGAGGACACTGACTCAACATAGGGACATTTGGTGATGAAATTCCAAATACATTTCAGGCCAAATTACAAGTAACAGATATTTCCAACCATAAAATTGATGTGAGAAAAGTTCTTGGGCATTTCTCTCACAAATTTACCATCCATTTAGCTGATTGAAAAAATTACCTCCAGTGTAGAAGGACTTCCTTCTCTCTTTTTCACTTGAATGTTATTTTTACAGAGAATGCCAACATTTCTATGTACTGTACAGTGGTATCAGTATTCAATTCCCCAAATGCCAAATTTTGTTGAAATATATTGATGGGAATCAGTTTAAATNTTTTGTTGAAATATATTGATGGGAATCAGTTTAAATTGGGAGACAATTTTTATTTTCATGGAATTATGGTGAGTATTTTGTACGTAAAACACCAATTAAAATTATATAATGTAAGTCTAAGCTCTAAGGGATAATTTGACTTGACTTAAGGACACTCTTGATGCACCAATTACGTCCGCATCTCAGGGTCTCACTGTATTGAGGTCTCATTGCATACATTTTCTTGCAAATGTTGAAGTCATCAAATGCCAAAAGCCATTGAATACAGTATAAGAGGGGAGTGCGTCATGAAGAACAAAATAGTATTTTTTCAATTTTCTTTAGGAAAAAAATGTGTTTTCGAGTCCAGCCTTTTTCTGATGGTTGAATTCCTTGCTTTTGTGACGGGGTCTTAAATCGAGGGTATCATGATGGCCTCTTCTCATTGTTTCAGACGTTACTTGCCTGTTCTCAAGAGCTACCCGACCAAGTACATCCACGAGCCGTGGAAGGCGCCGGAAACCGTTCAAAAGTCTGCGCGTTGCATCGTGGGCAAGGATTATCCACTGCCCATGTTGAATCACTCGGAAGTGTCCAAAATCAACGTAGAACGCATCCGGCAGGTGTATCGTCGTCTCAGCAACTTCAAAAACGGACCCGGACGTGTCCCAAAGGCCATTTCTTGTCCCCTGAGCACCGAAAGTTGTCGCAGTAACGGCGGTCATGACGACGACGCCGCCGCCGTCATCGCCTCCGCCTCGCTCACGACTCCGGCGACCATCGAAGTTTAGCTGATGAAAATATCTTTTTTTTTTTTTTGCCCTCCGTTACTGAGAACCCCCCTTGTGTGTTGTGAAAATTTTAGTAGTCTGTAATTCCCATTCCAGTAAAATGCAGCTGAAATTACTACTTAAGTATTACCGTATTTACTTGAGTACCACGTGCGGGGTTTTTCAGTTGAACATTTTGCAAAAATCTTATCCCCAAGTAAGACGCGCACCCCAATTTTTAGTGAATCTAAAGCCATACAATTCCAAAAATAAAAACAAAAAATTTGACTTTAGGCGTAAATTTAACAAAAATCTGACCAATTCTCTTTAATACAAAAATGTTTTCTTGCTATATTTGTTCAAAATTTCTCCATTATAATTTGGTATAATACACACATAACTTCCTAAAACTTCTTGAAAATTTTGTACCCGCTTGTGACGCGCACCCCTTTTTTTCTTCTGAAATTTGGGGAAAAAGGTGCGCGTGGTACTTGAGTAAATACGGTAATCCAAAGAGCGCATGTTTTTTTTGGCAATACAGTACCAATAATTTCACTTTCTGTTCAAGTCCGAATGGATGTTATTAGCTTCGATTTTGGTTTGGATTGGTTTTTTCATTTTCCTGGATTCTTATCAAATTTTACCGTTTTTTTTCTACAATGGAGAGGAAAAAAGGGGTTGCGCATCATAGGCAGGAATAAATTTTTAAACAAGTTTTAAGAAGTTTAGGTGTGCATTATATTTGATTTTGATGGAAAATGTTGAACCAATTTCAACAGAAAAACGTAATTTAATGGAAATGAATGAAAATTAATTGAATTCAGGACCAATTCATCAATTCATGCCTACATTCAAATCTGGGCGTTCGTATTTTTGAAATATTGCAGATTTAAGAGTCACTGAAAAAGGGTTGCGCGTTTTATTCGCAGATACTATTTTATAAAAAGAATTTTGGCTGAAAAACCCCTGTTGCGCGTATTCCTCGAGAAAATACGGCAATTTTTGTCTAATTTCGGGATGAAAATGTGTTGAGCCCATGCAATCATCTATTCCTATGAGGTTTTAAGGCACTGTTCAGCGTAATTTGGTATCTTAACCTGATGTCCCCGAGTTTCTACCATGATTTCGCCGGAAATGAGTCACTTATATGTGGATTAGGGCTTATCATAGCAATAGGTGTAATTTCTAGACGAAAATAGTATTAGAAGTCCTGTACTATATTATTATTATTATTATTGAACTTTATGGATGTGGAAAATATTGTGTTCTATGGATTCGGGAAGACCAAGACGATTTTTGACGAAATAATTCGAGAATTGGGAGAATCAAAAGAAGAAAAAAATTTTGAAATCCTTGGGGATGGTGTTCAGGAAAAATTAAGCTTTGGTTGAGGGAAAAGCTTTTCTTTTGCAAGCTGTGTCAGCAAATACTGCTTAATCAATGTCTAGGTTTCATTTTTTAAGAAATGTTGTATCGAAAATGAAATGCGGGGAAAATCGTACTTCGGAATTATTGGTGAATATGAGCCGCACAGAGAAAAATTTGTGGAATTTAATCCTTTGTCTAATTGTTATGGGAATTTGGAGAAGATACAAGAGCATTTCCGTTTGCACATGCTTCGTGAGTCTTTGTGCGAGTATAGAAAAAAAAATCAGTTCAATCTTATACTTTTTTTTATTTTTTGTGTGTGGAAAATTGGATTTATTTTATTGAAAAGCTTATTTTGATGAAACGCTGACCTGGGTTTTACAACGCCAATGTTTGTTGTGAATTTATGGGCATTCGTATCTTTTGGTTTCGGAAAATTCCAATTTTTTGTGATTGAAAAAGCTTTCGTGAACATTCCTCAATGAATGTCCGACTTCGGGTCCCTGAAGTTGGAATTTCTTTTTTTTCTGAGGAATGAACCGATTTTTTTTTTTGAGCTATTCTTTAAGAACGTTTTGCTTGGTGTCGACTGAAAATCTTCTTTCGATTCGTCTTCGAATTTTGCAGATTTTCGCTAAGATTTACCGCGGTCAGGTTGCAGAAAAATATCCCGCAGTGCAGAATTTCATTTTAAAATAAATTCCTATTCAAATTTAGCACTGACGGTCATACGATTGCAAACGTGCCATTTATTTCAGAGAAGCTCATTTTTTCATCAGCTACTTTTTTAAACTAAGATCGAGCGTATGCCTCATTTTGATCATTATTTTTTAATTGTTTCTTCTCGTTTGCTCGAGAAAAGGGCGAATGAAACGACGAACAATTATTTTAGAAGGTCTTCTTGCTTCCCGAACGCGAAAGTTGTCTGTGATTTCAGTTGAGCAAGTTACCAAATTTTACCGGTTTATTTTTCAGGGTTAAAGCGATAATAGGTTCCAAGTATTTTGCGTACCCAAAAAATCGGACGAATTCCTGAACCGAACCCGCGATCAAATTTGAATGTCATCTGTTTTAAATATTCATTGTTTTCAAATTTTCATCTATGACACGTATTCCAGAATGACCTGACAGATTATCTTTGATTATGAAGCGGGATTTTCGGGTTATGTGAGGGTGTCGGAAAATGTTATTGTACCCTGTAAAATTTAACTGAGAAGAACTAGGAGTTTTTAGTCCTTGTGACGAACGAGGTGCGGATTTTTTAAAACTTATTCTTCGAGTCTTCACAACAGTTATCTCGTTGATTCTGGTTTTATTATGCGTGTTTTTCAATTCCGCTTTTTTTTTATAACAAAAATCTTTGGAACAGTTTTTTTTTTGGAATTGTGTGACTTTAAAGAGTTGCTCTTGACATGAGTGCGTGGTTTGCCGCCAATGCTTATAATCATTTTATTTTATTTTTAATCCTTCTTTCAATCTTCGTCGTGTTTCAAATTCTATGCGTTAAACTCGAGTTTTGAATGTTGAGAGTCGACGATGTGTGTCGTGGGAAACCCCTATTTTTTCATGGGCAATTCCGCATGCCACCTGGCAAAACGCCCCGGGTAAGGGTACTACAGTACGTTCGGAGTGATGACATTTGGGAAAGAATATCAGGGCATTCATGAAAATATTTTGCCCGCATTCCGGGTGCTCGCTGGATGGAACGGAAGCCGTCGTGATCAGTGTTCATCGTGTTTTGCTTTTTTTTCGTGGTGAAAAGAAAAAAAAAAATTGGAAGTTTTGGTATAGTGGGAAATTTATTACAAAATACGAATCTTATTCCCTTTTTGTCTGTGTTGTCTAGAAGTAAGCATCAGTAATAACGCCTAGCGTGAATGTCTATAGATGTTGAGTGTTGGTTTTTTTTCTTCCCTTCGCGAATATTTATGTCTTCTCTTTTATTTTTCAGTGACATTCCTCCCCAATGTTTTGTGAAGAAAGTCAAAGGATCGGAAAGTGTCTAGTCATTTCCCGGGAATCGTGTGTGCTTATCGGTGAAATGATGGGATCCCGTATCAAGGTGGGTGGCAGGCATATAGGGTTTTGTTTGAATTTTTTTTTTTTGGGAAATGAGTGTGATTCTGGAAGCTTGATTGCTGTGGATTCGGAATGTTCGTTACTTGGACAATTAAAGCTTGATGTCGGATACGTGCTGAGATTATTCTTACTGTACAACACAGTACGTGTAATTTGCAAACGAAGCCGTTTTTTGTGTCTTTATTGCGAAGTTCTTTTGTGTCTGGATTATGTGGAACAAATTAATTACGTGTGATGCAGTCTTGGAGAAGGGGGATTTTTAACCATGTAAAATGTTTGCATAACAAAAGAAATTCTGAAATGGTTTAGTTTTACAATGCGATGACCTACTTTGAAGAGTGTAATGAAATACATGTACGGTATGTGTTGGATAGAAGTTAACATGCGATTTGCTGTGGTCACATCATATTCGGCCATGACCTGGGTTATTTCAAAGATAGCGCATGATCACAAATACTCGGCAATATTTCAACACCCCTTGGGATTAAAGTTATTAGCAAGCCGCATATACAGTATTTATTTAAACAGGATCCGAAGTATTCATAGGGATTTCGCAGAGGTTACTTCTACACACGGTAACGTGCGGCAATATCCACGGGGAAATCAGTTCCCTCTTCTAGGTGTCACTCGATGTACACGACCAACCCTCCCGCTCAGAGAATACGGTACCTGTTGGCGGCTCCGGCTTATTTTAACAAAAACACGGTCATGTACCCTATAATGAAAGTAAATTACCTTGCCAAGGTACGGGGAATGCAAAAGGTGCGTTATTGCTGCATCCTGCGTGCAGTAGTCGCAGTACGTGCGACACGCAAGGCACGTTCAACTCGGGTGTTGGAGGGGGCATTCCCTGGCTCCCTATTCCTTCGGGTCTACTGCGCATTTCAGGGCCGGGTTTCCAGCCCAATCACAGCTGAGCACCCGGCTATCACGTGGTGAGACAGAGGGGAGGGGGGGCATGAACGACGCCGCATGCGTGGTAAAGTCTGGGACAGGAGGTTGCCAGACATGTGTATCTAACCAGCTTCAGACGAAAATACTGGGGAAACGTGGACCGTCTGATGCGAGCGTTCAGTGTGATGCAAGAGGGGTGCAGACTTTCGCTGGGATTTACGATGTGTTCAGTTCTCTTCTGTACGAAGCTGCTTTATCCGGTGTGGGCGGCACAGCGTACTCCCCCAAAATCGTACTCCAGGAGTACACCCTACCGTCAGGCAGGGCATACTCCAGAGTCCATCCCGCCTGAACCAACGACCAGGCACAGTGTACTCCATCAGGCAGGATGTACTCCCCCCAAATTCCCAGTTGCAGTGTTTTCCACCAGTGGGGATGTTTCAGTTAAGGTTTTCCCCCCAGTCATGGTGTTTCATACCAGTGGGGGTGTTTCTCACTAGTGTTTTTAAGTTTTGCTGTTTTCAGTTGAGGTTTTTGCCACCAGGGAGGTCAGTGGAGGTGTTTCCCCACCAGTGGGGATTTCCCCCCAGTCATGGTGTTTCATACCAGTGGGGGTGTTTCTCACTAGTGTTTTTAAGTTTTGCTGTTTTCAGTTGAGGTTTTTGCCACCAGGGAGGTCAGTGGAGGTGTTTCCCCACCAGTGGGGTTGTTTTCAAGTATAGTTGAGGTTTCTGCCACCAGGGAGGCATTTTGCCACCAGTGGGGGTGTTTCCCACCGGTGTGGTGTTTCTCACAAGTAACTTAAAAATTTGAAAAGTCATTAAAAGTGTTTTGTTTGCAATTACAAAATTTACTATTAATTTTTCTATGAAATCAATATAAATATCAACATCACTCCAATCAGCATTTTTTAAATCAGCATTGAATACATGTGTCCTTAGAAGTGTTTGAAAATCCAATTTCAATACATGATTGGGCGTTTGTGAAAATATATATATCAGACAATGTTTTTGAAAATCTAATTTCAATACATGTGTGTGGGCGTTTGTGAAATTGAAAATTCTTTCTGGAAAAAACTTTAAAAATTACCTGAAAAGTCATTGGGAGTGTTTGGAATTAAAAAATTGAATATTCATTTTTCTATACAATCAGAAGAATAAATATAAAAAGAAATAGGTAC